AATTGACATTATTGAGTTGAGTTACCAGCTTTTCACCGTGACACTGTTCAAATGCTCCTGGGCAAATACGACAACTTCACGGGGACTCGCTACTGACCATTTGGGCATCACCTCAGTCAATTTCTCTAGACTTATTCATACGGGGGCATCTGAAGATGATGAGCCATATATCCTTGCTTCTGAGGCACACCAAATTTACTATGTCGAGGACGAGAAACATAAAGACTGGAATATGGTCGTTCACCTCAAGCCACGGGATCTTTACGATATGGGTGATGGTGACATTATTTACGACAGTGAACCCTTCCAACCCTCGAATTTTGAAGACTTCTTTCCTCAAGGAGATGATAATTTGCCACTTATCAGGTACACGTCTTTTCTTAAATTATTTAAATAATTAACTACTAATTACTAATTTTTTCCAAATACAATATAAATTTAACAAATTTTTTTAAAATGTGTCCTTTCAGGCCAGATGATGATGGAGAATAGCAGCATCCAAAATAAATTATTTAAAAAATTTTTCGTCCATAAATACATATGTATAAATTAAAATTCGTACAGTTTTTTTAAAAATAAAAAAATTTTCATTTGTAGCGGTTATTAACCGCTACAAATGTACTTTACAAAATTGTAATTTGTAGCGGTTATTAACCGCTACAAAATACATATATGTAAATTAAAATTCGTTCAGATTTTAAAAAATAAAAAAAATACTAAATTTCTAGCGGTTAATAACCGCTACATATATAACCGCTACGAAATACTAGCGCTTATATATACGCTAGAAAATGAATAACAGCTACAAAATGCAAGAAAACGCTACAAAAACACCGCTACAAATGTGTCGCTGATCTCTATAAATACCATATCTTCTCTACATTCATTTACTCCATCTCTTTTCCTTCCTCTCCTATTCTTCTTCATAATTCTCTCTTTTTTTCTTACTATCTCATATGGTGGTTTTTTTCTCTTTACTCTATGGTAAGTGAATTTTATTTTATAATTCATTGTATCTTTTATTTGTTTTTATTTAAAATTTACTAACATATTTATTTCTCCTTTCCTTTCAGATTTTTCTTCTCCACACTTGTCATGCCCTCCTCAACTGATTCAAATACTCATCAATCTAATACTATAGGTTCAATATTACAAAATATATCATCTTCAATTCAACTATCTTATTAAATATTCAATTAAATTATGTTATTAATTAAATTCACTTCTTTTGACACATTCATAATTTAATTACATATTTTTTATTAAAAAATTTGAATATATAAAATGTAACATATAACTAATTATACAAATTAACAAAAATTCTTCAACATAATTTATTTAATGGTTTTTAAAATTATAATATGAAAAACCATAAATTTTTTTTTCTGGCACGGTAAACATTTCTAGCAGTTCCGAACCGCTAGAAATATTTCGTCAAATTTAAATTTTGCGCCAAATTTCTAGCGGTTCAAACCGCTAGAAAATTTTCCCCGCCATTCCTAAAATTCAATTGGCGGGAAAATTTAATTTCCCAAACATTTTTAGCGGTTATCCCAAACATTTCTAGCGGTTCTATAACCGCTAGTAATTTTCGCGCGCTACTGAAATTATTTAATTCCCAGCAAAATGGATTTCGTTTAGCAGGTTTCTAGCGGTTATAAAACCGCTAGAAATTTTTTCCGGGAACTTTTCTAGCGGTTTTATAACCGCTAGGAATGTGTCTCCTTCAGATATTTTCTAGCGGTTATAAACCGCTAGAAATTTTCTATCGTTTTGACTATGATGTGTAGCGGTTGCGATAATCGCTAGAAATTTTTTCTTGCACCTGTTTTTCTAGCGGTTTCCTTAACCGCTACAAATTTGATTTGTTGCGGTTAAAACCGCTAGAAATGTAACACTCTAACCGCTAGAATTAACAATTTTTTTGTAGTGTATGATATTTATTCATTATTTTCAAAGTAGTCTTTGTAGTTTTGTAGTAGTTGCACATGTTAAGAATTCCATCAAATGGGTAGTTGTAGCTAATATGTATGGTTAGCAAAGATGTTTTAGGAAAAATAATACTTATTTATTACAAATAAAACTCAACAAACTTTCTTGATGTACTCAAATTAATTAACTAGTTCTTATATTGAAAACCGGCTCATTTCTTCAATTAAAGAAAACTACATTTTTGTTTAATAAGTGAACTTCAAGGTTATCATATCTGACGTAGACTTCCTGTGGTTTAGTGTGAAAGGTTAGAACAAGATGAAGATTCATTGCCCCAAAATACACGATTGGGCTTAACGTAGACACTCAATTTATGATTGGTCCTGACAATTGCTATCTATGTTCCCCAAGCCTAACAGGTTTTATATTATTCATCACAACCATTTAAAAGTCAGTGCATGTGCTTTTGACATTTCTGCACAATCCAACAAATTAAACAACGTGTTCATATGTGTTTAGTGCTTTTTCTCCTTTCCCCTTTCTTAATACGTTTGAATTAATGGCAGACAATAATTAACTGAGATTAGAAGTGGGATTCCACAACTTCTTGTTTGTTTACAGGAAATCTTTCATACTATTAGATAATTATGAGACCATTATAGCATAGTTGAGTTTTAGGTACTCATTGATGATTAATGGGATAATAATTCATTGAATTTGCAGTTTTGAACTTTGACAAGTCTCATATTTGACTTATAATTTCTGATCCAAACTTATGCTTTTGTAGCTTTTAATTGTGTAATTTGTATTAAGTTAGAAGTTTTTGTGCATCAAGGGTATAATTGTAACAATCTTGCAATTTATTATACTAAATTATTGGTTAATACTTTCTTTTTATTGTTGTTGTAGCTTGCAACCGAGTAAATCATGTGGTTTAATGGTTTTGGAAGTGGCTGAAGGCATTAGAGGTACTGGGTTCAAAGTAGGGCCATGTCATTGGAGTAATTTAATTTTTGTTTCAGAACTATTGAAGTTACTTAAATACCCTTAGATTAAAAATAAAATAAATAAAGAAAAAACATCAGATTTTTCTTTCTCTCCCGATGCTTTTCATTTCAGCGAGAGAAAGGAAGAGTAGAACAAGTTTTTCAAAGCTGAATCCCTAACCCTTCCTTTTCTTCTTCAACGGTTGCATCTCCCTCTGTCCTCCACCGTTCACTTTGCAGTCTCCGGCGTGCATTCTTGCAGATTCCTTCTCCTCTGTTTTCGCTGCAGAACATTGCTAGAGTTTGGGGTGTTTCTCTTTCAGTTGGAGTCATTTTCTTTCCTTTTTCTGGTCTATCTTGCAATGTAGGAGTATGGTGTAAGTTTAGGTAAGTTTTACCCTTCTTGTTGTGCGTTTGGGGCTGATTTTGGCTGATCTTGGGTGGCTATGCGAATTTTCTTTTCCATATTCGTTTCTGCAGAATTTTGGGTGTGGGTGGTCACATGTAGGATGTTATCTTCTTGGATCTTGTGATTTTTGGCTTGGGTAGAGAATGTTAATTGGTTTGGTTGCTGGAAGTTTTGAGATTTCAAGGATTATGGGGGTTGTCTTAAACGAAGCATATTGAAGAGCTTCGATTTTATATATTGTTAACGGGGTGATGCACGGTGCTTGCTTGCAACTATTATTTGAAGCTTGAAATCATTGGGTGCTGTTTATTTTGGTCTATGAGATGAATTTAGTTAAGAAGGAAACTTGAAAATTTTTTGGTGCGGATGCTTGTTTCACAAAACAATGTTGAGTGCCCGTGGGGTGTTTGATAAACTGTCTACTTGAGCAAAAGAATTTCTTGATTGGTGTTTATATAACATTTTGATGGAAAAGAGCAAGATAGATATTATTTTGGATTAATTATAATTAAACTTTTGTTTTCAAGAGATACATGAAGGAAATAAGAGTTGATTGTTCTTGTGGGTAGAAAATTCGAAGGTTGGAGTTTTACGTTGTTATTAGAAAACAAGTGAATTATAATTTATATGTTATGCTTGCCGACTATTATGCTAATCTTTGGATATTTTTGACATGGATGGGCTTGTTAGAGCTGTAAGAGATTGTTGATAAGTGATTTAAATGTACATAAGTTATAAATGGGGTATTAATAATGTTTTGTTTCAGGACACTAGGGGATTGAGGAGTGAACATAACTCAAGGATGTGTTAATTGGAATGAGTTATATTTTGAGAGCATAACAGGTGAGTGAATAGCATCCCATTGTCATAAGTTTTTTTTTAAAAAAAACATTTAGCTTCTTTAAATGATCTATCAAGATGATTTAACTTAAATTTTATCATTTTTTTTCAATCTCACTTATTTAATGTTTTAATGTTCAATCACTTGAAGGAATATTTTATCTTGTTATATGCTGATTAAAAGTTCTACTTACAATTCGTTAACCTGCATTTTTGTTTCTAATAAATATTTATATTTGGAATTTGGAAAGGAGTTTTGAAAATATTATTTGAAAACCTTCATACTGGGATCAGCTGTTATAAAATATTCCTTAAAGGATTCCATTCGTGGAAATAAAATATATAAATATATATTCCCCTGGTTGTTAGTAATAAACTCGATCCCATGCATGCTTGTACACTTTTTTTAGAGGTCTGGATACAGAACGCTAGTCACTAGCTTGCTTGATATTTGTGAGCATTGTTCCTGCGCTTGTTTCATGGCTTTGGCCATGCTCGATTAGTTACTTATCCTCGTGGACTATGTGTATAACATCCTACTCTATTTACCTTTATGAAAGCAGATTTAAAAACTATGATTGAGACTTTACACTAAAAAGATGGTATTTTTAAAACCTTTTATCTACTTTGACTCAAAACTTATAACTTCAAACTTTGAAAGTTTTATACGATATAATAAGACCTGAAATCATACTGATCTAATAGCAATAACAATTTATCAGAGCTGTACAAATGTTTCTACAGAAAACTCTACTTTTCTGTTTCAGCTCTAATAAATCATACTTGGTAAATCCTAAACCATTCATATTATAGATAGGTCATTAATATATGCATATATGTATGCTAAGTCCCCAGTTATGTTAAGTTACCCCAACACACTACTCCTTATAGAGGTACATACATCCCATAGTGGAAATTACATAACCTCACAAAATGAAATATAGGCATCATAAAAGGAAGGGGGAAACAAACACAAAAATATTCCAAATTAACTAACTAACTAAACACTAAGCTGGGAAACAAACACAAAAATATTCCAGATTAACTAACTAACTAAACACTAAGCTCTTCTTTCCTGCCACCTTAGCTAAGCTTCCACCAGCTTCTTTTTTCCTTTGGATGAACTGGGCCCTATGGTTAAATAGAAAAGAGGGGTGAGATTCAAAGAATCTCAGTAGCAGTAATCATATTTCGTATATTATGCATGGTATAAAACTAAGCATGCAAAATAAGCCATGGAGAACACCTTACAAAATAACTGAACTGAGTAACTAACTAAGGCATATTCACTGTTATTTAATTGAATCTCATCTAACTGTTGCGCATAACTGAGTAACTGAATAACTGAGATTAACTGTGCATATATATACTGAACCGCTGCTAACTGATAACTGAATAACTGAACAGCTGCTATCTGATCAATTGAATAACTGTGCAGCTGTTAACTGATTAACTATTACATGCGCATATACTGGACAGCGAAATGCATGCATATGGCCATGACAATAACTAGTAAGGCAATTTACATGTTCTCATACTTAACTATAGCATTATGGCACCAACAGACGTGCAACCAAAGCAAAACATATAAAATGATGATTAAAGCTACCTTCCGCCTGCTCTCCTGTGCGGGTACCTTACTCTTGGTTTCTTCTTGGTAAGCTAGGACGCCAATTAAATCCTAACATTACAAGTACATATATAGAATGAGTTAAAATTGGGATTCTGGTTAACCCATAACTAGCTAAATCTCTTTATAACCCCCACTCAGGTGTACTCTCTTCTCTTAAGGTGGTTGGTCATCTTGGCCCAAAATTTACACTTCATCCATGTATTTCCAAAGGTTTCTAACATTTCTCCTTTCTTATGTTTCTCTTAACTTCTTATTCTATTTTGATTTAGCTAAGACAGTATGATGTAACTTAGTTATTAACTCTTCATGCTTCTTAAATCATTGCTCAGCATGCAAGAACACAGAACAACAAACTTAGATCATCATTCAAATACTCTTCGATCATAAATAGCTATGTAGAACATTAACTTGACATTTAGAGATATTCAAAGGAATTTCAAATTAGTTCCTCAAGTTTAGTTCAGTCTTATACATTTCACAAACATGGATGGTTTCATCAAGCATTTCGGGTTCCTTTATTATCTGTTTTGAACATTCAATCTCACTCACATAGCTAAGAATAACAGTTTAACATCTAAACATATAATTCAGCTTATGGCTTTCTCACATGTATTGATATTAATCAACAAGGAGTTTTTCAGCTTATGACCCCTAACAGATAAGGTAATTATTCACTAATTGACAGTGTCAATCATCAACTTGTACAAAAATATTTCATGACAATAATATTCAATTTCAGCAACTAGAAAACATGAATAAGAAAGTCCACTACACGCATCCCTATAGACCACCTTGCATTCACTTGCTTTACTCATATTCTTACAAGTTTATAATCAACTTTTAACCATCAGACGTTTCAAACAGTAGCACTATATAACCTGGAAATTATTTTCTAGTTTCATAACATAGGCATGCTTCTTTTAATTCTTTAACCATTCAGTCCACACAAAACAGCTCCCCTGAAGATTTTAGCTCTTATGTCAGATATTAAACCATCATTCAAGAGTCTCTAGACCCAGCTCATAAGTTATTATAATGGCTTAATATTCAGAAGTATAAACCAGCAAGTTCTCATACATTATTCAGTTCCAATTTTAACAATATATCATATAAACTACAATTCAACAGATTCCAATTTCAAGAACACTGTTTTGATCATTATTTAAGCATCCTTAAAACATACTCTAACGCCTTGGATCTCTGGTTTAACATTCAGAAGCCCCAAACAATAATTTATAATCAGTTTTCAAACTCAATAATCCTAATCCCATGACTCATGGCAACATACAAGTATACAAGTCTTATTCAATCTCCCTGTTCCAACATTTTCGAATCCCTTTAGAGACTCTTATTTAATATCAATGACAGCAGTATCACATTTAAATCACTTCCCCTTAGCTCAATCAAGAAAGAACCCGACTGCAAGTGCACGTTTGCATTTATAGATCAAAATAAGGGAACTTACAGATAATCGGCTTTCTTACATAAAGCTTCTATTTTCAGCAATCATATAAATATATATACAGTTCTTATTCTTGAGTCAACTATTCTTTTAATTTCTGAAAATCAATAATGCTGGCACAAGAATTCGAATGTTTCCTCCATGCGAGGAGCTACAGATTATCAAATCCAAAAACCAATGGCCAATGATCGACATGCAACCACATAAGAGACATCAAAACAAAGTCACTGATTTTATATCAATTTTATTTTTCAACTACCCAAGCTTTAATCTTTACCAAATCGGTGATTTCTCTCCCAACTGAACCCATCTCATCAGTTAATGCCAATGATTCAGAGGAAGGAAATAACTCGAACAATACGAACACACACACACACACACAAACAGTAAGCATCGGGTTTCGCAATCACAAAACAGAATCAATCCAACACATGCAATGCTAAATATTAACTTAGTCTATCTCTAGTTATAGTTTCGAACCTTTAATCATCATTTTCCCCTCACTCAGAACCAAAATTCAATCACCCCTTTCCTACTGAAATCATCTAATCGAAGAAATAAAAGATGGGAGAAGACTTAGGAGTCTACCTTGGTTCGAAAGCCGACTTGCACGTAATCTATCTCCTCCCCAAAAGCTTCCCTGCTTGGATCTCCCTCCCAGTGTTAGCTCTCTTTCTCTCACTCTCTCTCTCGTTCTCAGTCTCTCAATCGGCCTCCCCACAGTCTCTCAGACTCTCACTCTAATATACGCCATCAAGCTTACTTGTCTAAGAAAGAGAAGGGAAGCGTGTTGAAGGAGATCTGATGTAAGGGAAACAGGTGGCTGAAGGTAGTGAAAAAGAGGCAGAGAACGTGCCACGAACGTGAGAATTTGGGAGTGATCATCGTGGGAAAAGACGCGTATAATTGGGCTAAAAGACAAAAAGTTATTTTTCCCTTCACAAGATACTCTTCTGATCCTATTTATAGAGCAGAGAGAGAAGATTTTTTTTTGTCCTATTTACAAGTCACCTCATTAAATTTTTACTATAAATTTACCATGTTGTCCTTCATTTATATAGTATAGATAGTTTTTTTTTTTAAATGGTATATATTAAATAGGGGTAAAGTTGGAAAGTTGCTATATTTTAATGAAGAGTTAATGTAGTTTAAGTTTTTTCTTGGTCTATGTGAAACTTGTTGGAAGTGCTTATAAATAGGACCAGATGAGTAACTCTTATCTCAATTTTACCCTTTACTTTAATCTTAAATAGTTTTTAAAATTGATCTTCAGCATTTTGTAGGAGTTTTCTTTCTTTCTAGTTCTTTTTTAGCTCACTAAATAACTTCCTTAAATTTTAGAAGCTGAAAATTAACCTATAACTACTTTTCTTGAATTTCTCAAGAAAATAAGCCTTTTATTTAGGAAAATAGATTTTAAATTATCTCTACCCTTTTGTTCATCCATAAACACATTTATCTCCCAAAACAGTCATCTATAATTTTTCCTTAGTTGTTTTAGGTCACTATATATTTTTAATAATTATTCCTTCTTTATTTTCCTATATTTCTTACTCAATAGTAGACTATTATAGAATAATTATTTTCCTAAGGTCTTAACTAAATATTTATGCCTCTCAAACATCTTATAAATTTGTAGCTACAAAATTTGGGATATTACAATGTGTCCACGCTTGTATTCGTGGCTTCAAGCTGCACTTGCTATTCTATTCTATTGAAGTCCTATAAAAATATTAGTATTTAAGAAATGTTACTTTATAATATTTTTGTGTAACAAGTTGTTTTATTACAAACTTTGGATTTAATTGTTTAATGAGCCTGAGTATACACTTATCTTTTAATTTAAGATTGTGTACTGTAGAAACTTTAATTCTTTATCACATAGTCATTCCAAGTAAAATTTAGTTTTATTGCATTCATCTGTTATTACCTTTTTAAATATTATCAATGGGATGTTATTCACCGGTAGATTCTTTTGTTGACTTCATACAGCACCACTGATCCTGTACCCCAGCTGAGCAGTGAAGAGCTTCATTAAAGATCCAGAACTTGTGACTTTATTTTGAGTAACTGTTAGCTAATGTAAACTCGAAAGTACATTTATGTCTTTACTTTTAGAATTTGATGCTCCACGTAATCTATGACTAGGTCCTCATCTTTTGGGTTATTTTAGAATGTAGTTATATATATACTAGTGCTGGGGAGCAGAGCCCCAAATATTGTTTGAAACTTGCAGGCTATTGTAAAATTTTCAGGAAGTCTAGATTACAGTGGAGGCTCTGTTGAAAATTTCTACAAATAGTTTTATATTTTGAATCACAACATGATTAAGTATATGAATGTTTTGTCTAATGAGATTACTCTATTTATGATTATCCTAAATATATATACATATATTAGTTAAACAATCCATATATTTAGGCTTAGGAGTGTGAGGTCTCTCATATTCTGTGCCGGTCACCTCCAAAGTTGGGGTGTGACAATAATAGTTAATTATATGCTTTTATGTGATAATTCTTGCGTTTTATTCATTCATTGGCTCTTGTGTATCTTACATACATTAGATTAGATAACCATGAGCTTAAGGTGAACATTGTAGGTGATCAAAGGTTGAAGAAATCAAGGAAGAAGTGATTCTACCTCACTTCGCCGCGGCACATTCTGATCTTCGCCATGGTGAACATGCCTAGTCAAAAGCTCAAAACTCACTAATCCAAACAGCATTGTTTTGGCTTCGCTGGGGTGAAAGAACCAAAATTTTTCAGATTTAAACCAAATGGTGAACATGCATAGTCAAAAGCTCAAAATTTTCTTCATCTAAGCTTCGTTTTCTCCATCCAAACTCTCTCAACTTCGTCCCTCTTCACCTCCTAATCATTCTCCATCATCAATTCATTATTTCTACTCCAATTCTTTCATTTTCTATCGATTATTCTCCTTAGATCACTGTTGCTATGGCCATTGATATTGCTGAGCTTGGTGAAGCTGTGATTTTAGTCATGAGAGGCTAGATCTTGATCCCTTGATATTCAATGAAGCCAATCTGAGTTTCTGAAGCTATAATTGGGAGTTTCTTCTACCTTAATCTTAGTTTTACTCTTTACATTCATAGATTGTAATTTCTAAGGTTTATTAGATTTGTGATTTGTGATTGTAATGAAATGTAATTCAATTGAATTATATTGGAACCAAGATTTGGATTGTATTCTGCACTTTAATCAACTGATTGGATTGATATTTTCTTCTATTATATTGGTTCTTTTTTCTCAAGTAATTAAATCCCTTGATTGACCAGGTAGGGTTCTAACATTGTTAATTGAGAGAATAGATTACCTTTTGCAGAGTATAATCCATATTAGACATTAAGATGAGTTTGATGAGTTAGGGTTCTAGCTTATTGAATTCGTTGTTTGTAAAAGATCTTCACAAACTAAGTCTAATAAAGGAATTGAACTCAATCAATAGAAAAACTAGGATGATTGGTGGACTTGATAATCAAGGATAATTCATACATTGCATTCATCTTCACTCATAGGTTTGAAACTATAAGGATTTAGATAGCCTTTTAGTTTTTGATACGGTCACTAGTTAAGAAATTACTTCACACATATTGCTTGGTTAATTTGATATTTATGCTAGATTACTAAGACATTATAGGTTCCTCAAGAGTTAGACATCTAGGTTAATGCCATTATATTACATTTAGCTTAGTTTTATGTGATAGGCTAGCCACAAGGCTACATCAAACTTGCAAAGAGTCTCCAATATACGTATCAAGAATAATTTAATGACAAAGAGGTAAAAACAAAAAACAAAAAAGATTATGTGTATGTTGTTGGGGGGAGTGGGTGGGTGGTCGAACATGCGAACGGGGGAATCATAGTTAGATAATTAAAAAATAAAAGAAAAGGAAGATGCATATGAAAATCACTTCAAATAAAAAGAAATTATTTCCATTTATTGCTTCAGTTATCAATTTAGTACATGAAGTTTAATTTCTATCAATTAAATTTCTTAATTCTGTATATAAGATATAAATAACTAAGAAAAAAAATATTTCATTTTGTTTTATTTATAAGTCACATCATTAAATTGTTTTGCATGAATATATAAGTTTATCCTTTATTTATTATTGTGTGAATTGCTATTTCTTAGAAAGTATGTGTGTGTGTATTAATATGAGTAAAGTTACAAAACTATTAAATTTTAATACTACTTTTCATTCTTAATATAAAATTTAATTATAAATTAAAACTAAACCTATATCAAAGACTAGAGGTGGTATAAAGTTGATGAAATTTAAAACTTTTCATGATTATAATAAAACATGCTAGAATTGAGTTATACTACCTCCGGTCTTTAATGTAAAAGCTTGTCTAATTTTTATTTTGGTCTTAAATATAAGATTTCAATTCTCTTTGTCTCTCGTATTTATCGATTTTTATGGTAATCCTTGTAATAATAGTAGTTCTAGCCAATACACTTAACTCGCAAGGATATTTTAATGAAAAAACACATATTTATTACAAATAACTAACTTAACTAATTTTTTTAATATACTCAAATTAGTCAGCTAGCTATCGAGGCAGTAAATGAATAAAGACGATGATGTTTCAAGAAAAGTAAATGTAGACGAGGATGCAAAAGGGAAGCTTGTTTGACAATGGCCTGGGGCCAGAGCGTAAGAACATTCTTATGGCTGGCAATGAACAACAAACTCCTCACGAATAGTGAAAGGAAGAGACGTCACATGACTGAGCATGATACATGCGAAATATGTGGAAGGGCAAGAGAAGACCTGGATCATGTTATACGAAGGTGCAACTTACCTACATCTTACTGGAAATTACTCATACCTGACCAAGGCCTTCACGACTTTAATTCGAGTAATTTCACTGACTGGCTGGTAACTAATCTACGAACTTACAAAAGCAATCCAACTTTTGGGCTCTTATGCTGGCGTCTTTGGGATGCAAGGAATCGCAGAATATTCAGACAGGAAACCACGAAACCTCCTCTGCTAGTTAATGAAGTTATTGCCCATTGCGAACACACTAAGAAAGCTCACAACTTCTGTACTAATCTTATTCGCAGTTAATTTCCGGTTTGTTGTACCGCCTTGCTCCGTTTTTCGATGACTCTCTTGTAAATACTTTGATGAATAAAATACTTTTCCACTTAAAAAAAAAGAAAAGAAAAGAAAATGTAGACGATCTATATATTTGATCTGACAGCCATGACTATTCAAAACAATGCACGCGTTTTGGCATCCAAGTAAATGCCCATTCAAGGAAGTCTCAGTGAATTAATCTAATCAACTCAATTTGCCAAACAGTTATATACCAATTCTAAGTCATGTTCGTTCCATACAAACTCATGCTTTCTTCACCATAATCTAAATGACTAATTTTTTCCCCCCATTGACAGGATCCAAGTCCTTGTTTCCGAGGTTTCAACGCAAAACGTGGAAGTGAGTGAAACAGAGGTGGTTAGTTTATCCACTTCCTTTCTCTTTGCTGTCAAATGTTATTGTTTAATTTGGATATGGTAGCTTCGGATGCAATATATCTACTGTGTGTGTGTCTATATATATATATATATATGCTGAGTTGAATAATCATAGTACAATTGCTATTCCCATCCATTGCAAATATATTTTAGATAGGAGATCTTGACATTCGTGTGAATGTTATTTTCACAGGCATATTCATCGGAAAGACAATGTAGCTACAATGCTACATTATTTACTAGCCCTGTTT